GACCTAGATCTGTTTCTGGGTCTAGTTCAGTAGCTCTGTGGTAAGGTGCCACAGACCCTGGGTTCCTTCTCCTTCAGAAGAAGATTTTAGAATGAATGCTAACCATAGTTCAAGTATAGAATAGTTTATCATATATCCACAGTTTATCATATGACTAACAAAGTCCATGTAATAGAGTCTTTAAAAATGACCATTATTTAATAGAAGCAAGTTGTAGAAAATGCCAAGTATGTAATAGAGGCCTGTGAGTGACAATTTCTCCACCCAGAGATACTATGGCTTATGTTGCACAGTTTGGAGCAAAGGAAATATTTTGGTTCATTTCTCTTACAAAATGTGGAATCTCCCTTTATCTGGCTTAGTAGCCTGCTCCTCACCTAATAATATGTGGTTTTAGATGCTTTTGTTATTGAGGTGTTTAGATCACTTCGGTTAATGTTTATGTAATATTGCCATTTCCCATTTTTCCTATGTTAAATATTTTCACTTTTTCCCATTGCTCAATATTATAGCTTTGGTTAATCTCTCTCCATGTCATTCTCTGTTTCTCTATCTCTCTTCCTCCCGCTCTCTCTGTTTCTCTCCACACTCACACACACACACACACACACACACTCACACACACACACACACGCGCGCGCGCACACACGCACACACCTGTCCCTCTTTGCACTGCCCCCCCCATGTGTGTGCATAATCGTGTCTGTGTGTCTATTTAAATCTTTGTCTTCAGAGCTGTCTAAAAATGCTGGAAATAGAACCTCTGGCTCCATTCAGGCCTTTAACAAGTCACCAACTATTTTTCAGCAGACATACTCTAATTGTCACCAACACCAGTAGGATATTAGAGACCCCGCCTGTGGCTCCCTGCCAGCATGTGTAATACTGAATTTCATCTTCTGCACTGCCTTAAGGCAGAAAAAGCAACTGTCAGGCTAGTGATTGCAGACAGGATGTAGCTTGGGGTGGAAACAGGCACAGGACAGGGAAGTACAAAGGGCCCAGGAGTACAGATACTGGGGCTGGGGTCACATGACTGATGGTGACACTCTTCAGCAAGCCTCTTTAAAATGCACCCCTGGGACACTTGCCGTCTCTGGGGAAATAAGGAGCCTATGGTAAGTCACTATTTTAGAAATCTGCAGGAAAGGCAGAAGGCCATGGCTCCTAGTGGCTCCTAGGGACCTGTCAGGAGTGGGTGGGGAGGCAACCAGTGACCTCATGACCTTCTAAGGTCCCATCCTCCTCTGTGATGCTGCGTGCCCCAAATGGCTGTTTCTCACATCTTTTCAGCACCTGGCCTATCCTTTTTGTCATCTGACAACATTCCATTGCTTTCTTATTACTGGAGACCTTCCTGGATGTGAGAGCCTGAACATGGAGAGAAAGAACTCTAAAAATAAATTACAACCCTCGTTATTGGAAGGGAAAAAAAGAATGGGAAGTGGCAAGCTTTTTCCCCATGCATGTGTAGCCTCACCTACTTGCCAAGGTATCTTTAGCAGACACTGCTTCTCAGAGGACATGCGGAGGGCAGAAGCCCCTCATTAAGCCAGGCTGCTTATGCTGAAGTGGTCAAACAGTCAATCTTTGTTATGTGTGTTTACCACAATAAAAAATAAAATTTGTTCCTTGATGGGAGAAGCCCAGACATCCTTAGCTGTGCCAACATCCTGCCTACCTGCCAGATTTGGGACGTTGGGCAAAGTATTTAAGCTTGTAGTCCATGTGTCCTCATCTGTAGAATGGAAGGGCTTAGAACAGTACTGTATTGTAGGCTCACACAACCTTAGTGAACCCAAGTACCTAGCCTAGTACTTGACATGTAGTAAACACACTTGGTGTTTATGCTATTAACTTAAGCTAGGCAAGCCCCTGGAGGCAGATTGCTCCCTATTAGGCAATGTTCTTCAGGTGACCACAGTGGAGGCTCTACAGGTACCCGCTGAGGAGAGCCAAGGGGTTCTACCAAACAGCTTAGAGCAAACAGCACAGCCCCTCAAAACAAAGACTGAGCTGGCCCAGAAAAATCCCAGGATTAAATAGAACACACAGAGAAATGTGCCTTATCTCAAACATATAGGTCAGATGGAGATGTGTGTTGAGGACAGTGATCATGCTGTGGAGGATGGACAGGACTAAAGTCCTCCCTTGGAGATGTGCAGATAAGAGTCCATGGGAAGCATTTCCTAACAAGAGGCCATCAAGAGATTCTTGTAACCATTTTTTTCCTGTAGTAAGAGGGTGACTCAGAGTGTCCCCAAAGCTGTCATCCCCCTCGGGAGCTAACACTCACAGTCCTTGTAAAGGGAACACTAGAAGGACAGTGTTCCTGCCCGTGGCTGAATGCATCTTGTGTTTGGGTAACTGATCTTGAAACTGTCTGAAAAAGAAGTCACTGTCATGAATAGAAATAAAAATCGCTGGTTATAAGTAATGACACACATGCAAGAAAAAAAGATTAGATCTTGTGTTCAACCAGAAATCCTCCACAAGGAGAAGGCTCTGTTACCCACTCACCATATAAGGAGTTATTTAGTCTGCTTCTCAAATGGTATAATCATACACTGCCTCACACACACTGAAGTGCTGGCTCTTTACATCAGTCAAAAGGTCTCTGTTCATTTACTAGCAATGAAGGTTTGAGAAAAGATCTCTATCTCTGGCCTCAAATTTTGCCCTTAGGCTAATACTGGAAACTTTGGTAAGGTATACCAAACCCCCACTCAGCATCTTCAGGGACAGCTGGACTTCAGGACTGGGTGAGGGAAAGGGGTTATTAGGAGAAAATGGCCTTGGGCAGTCCTGGTTCTTAGAATCCAGAGTGTAGACAGTGGCGGTCATAGAACGAGTAGGAGACCCCACCCATGTGGGACACCTTTGCTCCCCTTTCTCCAGACTTCCGGCTCCCTCCATGTGCTAGGGCTTTCTAGAATAGAGCCTTGTGTGTGTTCAGTGGCTGCTATAACAAGGAATCCCATTAGAGATTTACAGGGGAAACCAAAGGTCACCTGGCACAGGGGGATTACCTGAGTCCTTGGTGTAACGGATTATCAGATCTGCCATTGGTTCCACTAAGACCGTGGTAGGTGCACTGAAGAATGGTACTAGAGAGGACAGGAGGCTATGCCAGTGGGAAGCTTGGGATCGTTTTCTTGGCAAGGGCAGCACTGGAGTTGGAATTTGCATGTTGGTAAGGATGTAGGTGCTTTTAAATGATGCTGTAATATTCCAAAGAAGAGCAGGAGCTGCTGCATGGGGAAGCTGAATAATCCAGAAAAGAGACTTTTTGGGGGGGTCTGCAGGGGAAATGAGTACTGAGACCAGTTAAAGCTAACAATGCCATGACTTGTTTAGTGTAGAGTGTGAGATTCTGCTACTGGTACAAGATGTGTGTCCTTCGGCAAATTACACTACCTCTGGAGCCTCAGTATTTTCATCCAGAAAATGGGCATAAACATCTTGGCCCTTATACCCTTATGCTGGAAATTAAATGAGTAAATTACTTTAGTGCATTCTGAGTGTTGTCTGGCACAGTGTAAGTTCCTACAAAAGACAAGAGCTTTGGCTGCTATTTCTGATTTTAAAAGGTAGCAAGATGAAATAGGATGGACTTCTGAACCAAGCTGAAATGATGGGGTATGGAAATGGAGAGTCACACAGGGAAATGACTGATAGTGAGAATTGCCACTGGACACAGGCCATGCCTCATAGGACACAAGATGAAATTCAAGAACCATCCATCCCTCTGCTCACCCAGTCTTCTGCATTCTCTTTGCTTTGTAGCTCCGAAAGTATTGATTTTACTGTCTGTGTGGTATTAGCTGCATTAAAGTACTCCCAAGAAATCCCACCCCCCATTTCTATTAACCAGGATACCTGGGACCAAATACCAAATACTCTAATCCCAAAGAGGCCAATCCAATGCTTTTAAAAGCACAAAGGGCATAAAGGTAGGTCAGAACACTAACAAAATGCACATCTGAGATGCTTCATTCAAAAGAAAAACAGCAATGACGTTTGAGTATTAGTTAAGGTGTATCTCCTTGTGGGGTTGGAGGAGCAGGAGATGATGAGGGAAGATGGTAGAATCCACAAGTGAGGCTGCCTTGCCCTCTGACCCTCTGGCCTGGGAATTTGCTGAGCCCAGAGCCAGATGCTTTACACTTCTCCCACAAGCTGCTTGGGCTCAGACTGTTGCAGTGTGTTAAATGTGTAAGAACAAAGATAATGTTTTCAAGTACTGGCAGCTACAAGAAATAAGTATGAGTTTATCCCTATAAGATTAAAGAATCATGTGGGTTTAAAGTTTTAGTCTGCTGGAGGTCAGCCCAGGGTGAGGTTCAGAGGCCTAGAATAATAGGATACGACTTTGACTTGGAACACCACAAAGAGTGCGTGCGTGCGTGCGTGCGTGTGTGTGTGTGTGTGTGCCTGCATGTGTGTGTGCATGCATGCTTGCTTTGTGTGTGTGCATGCATGCTTGCTTGTTTGTGTGTGTCTGTGTGTGTCTGTGTGTGCCCACATGCACATGTGCACACATTGCTGCCTCCTTGATCCCCTCTACCGACTGAATAATCTGGGGGTGGCTACACATGAATGTATGCTATTGTTCCGGGCACATGCCAGCCTTAAGAAATAGCACAAAGCAGGCCCATCCCTACTCAGCCAGAGAGCCCCCTCCATCACTCCATCGGTCCCTTCCAGGTCACATGCCTCAGGGCTCTGCAGACGGGACACAGCTGCCTCAAATCTGCTGCCACAGTCCCAAAGCTCTGCTGGCTTTAGAGAGCTCCACGGGAGAGACTCGGAAGATCCGAGACCCAAGCACTATGTTCTCTCAGGAACTGTGGCTGGAAAACGAGAGAAAATGTGCTATGGTTCGGAAGTCCAAGCCTGGCAGGAAGCGCCAAGAATTGCTGGCCATTGCGTTTGGGGTGAAGGTGGGACTCAAAGGTGGCTTTCTTTGGTCTCCTCTCAAGCTCTTTGCTTGTTCACAGATCTCCTCGCTCGTCCGAAGAGCTGCCCTCACACGCAATGACAACCACTTCAACTATGAGAAGACACACAACTTCAAGGTGGGTGTCCACATCCTTTCTGCTGCCCTTCCGGGAGGGAGATGGGGGTGGGAGAGACTCCTTGATGACTTCCATCTGGTCTCTAGTCAGAAAGGCAGGAGACAGCAAATTCCTTTGTTTGCCACATATCCCTTTAGTATCAAACTAAAGGCTGGAGAAAGCAGCCGGCTGGACTGGACTGCTCTTAATACCTACACGTGTATTAACTTAGCTCTGGGAAGCCACCTCCTGCATCTTTCCATGCCCGGTGAGAGGGGAGCAGAAGATTGCCAGTGGGTGGCATTTAGAAGTGTTCTGCACAGAATCTAGCAGTGCTTTTCCACCCAGAAGAAGGGCTGCTGCTGTCTGAGAGTGCAAACAGTTGTGCAGTTTGTGTTTTTTGTCCTTTGTTTTCGGTGATCCTAAGGAGCCTGTTTCGCACAGACAGCTGCAGATGTCATGGGGAGAGAGCCCATTCACTGGCTTGTGTGGGTGCTTTAGGTTCAGGGGCGCCTTACAGCCTGGCCAAGCTGACCCTGCTCTCCAGTCTTAACAAAAAGATAGGGGACCTGGCGGGGGTGTACGCGGTTTTCCCCGTGGATGTGAGCTGCCACCAGAAAATTAAAGCCTGTTTCTTTTGCCCTGCTATGTGATCAAAGTGTTCAAAGGGGAAACTGATGACAAATTGCCCAGCATGGGAACTGCTGGGGGTTGCGGGGGAGAATGGGGCCACGTTAGAGATTCACCTAAGTGAATGATATGGGTAGTTATAATGAAGCCGGAGGTTTTCGGATACAGGACTCAGGAAGAAAAGAATAGGAAGGGAGTTAAATTGTGGCTTGCCATCCTCTGTTGAATTCTGCTTTCCTTCTGGGGCCACTGACCATGGAAATGAGATTGAGCAACAGGAACGAGGAAACCGTTTCTGTTGCTGCTCATGAAGGGCCAGCCCTTCCTAAGGATATATGTGTGCCTATTAAATTTGCATTCCTGTTAGCCTGGTTTGTCTCTGCACTTCTACTTTGGGAAAGCATACAGCTCAGGCCTTTACCTGCTATCCTTGATCAGAGAAATGGAAGCCTTCAACCCTACGGATTTAATGACGGATGGAGAGTTGTGCTGTTTGGGGTCTCGTCCATGCTAAGACTTTTATCTTCCTCCAGTCACTGAATAATGGCAGGTCTGGAGCATGAAATGTCCACTTTTCTCCTTCTGGCTTTCTATTTTAACCACTGTGATCTGTTCTTTCCTTAAGAAAAATGTTTATCTGACTTTTGACAGAAACCCCTGGTTTGAGCACCCTGTGAATGCATTGCCAGCTAAGTCTTGTTGGATTTGCAGATCCCTTTCCTTCCTCTCCAAAATTCCAATGATTGTGTGCTGAAGGTGCAGTTTGATTGCATTGGTGTGAAATAGCTTCTCAGTGGATCTACCCCATAAGTTCAGAACATGTGTACTCGGGTGATGGGCACTCAGCCTGTCTTAACTACATTTCTGAAGGGGAGATTTTAAGACACTGTGAAAAAGAATAAGCTGAATCTTATTTCCTAACTTTGTTTGGTAGAAGAACAAAGCATTCATTGTGAGTGGAAACAAATAAAACCAGCACATATGTGTTGCCCCAGGTGCATCCATGAGACAGACAGGGACACACCCCCTTTTGTGGCTTACACAGACATCTTTGAAACCTAAGAGGCCCAGGAGTGACTGCAGCAGTTAACTGTGGCGCTCAATGGTACTGTCCCTGCCTTTGTCCTTCAGGATAAGTGGCTGGGGATGGAGGAGGCATTCACTGTGTTATTATTCATTCCTTCCAACCTTGGCCCCTTACCCTCTTCTTACTAAATAAAGAAAGCAAGTGTTTACCAAGGACCCTGTTAGATGCTTGGAATTTGTGTTTTAGACCTTAATTTTGCATCAGTTTTTTTTTACTATTATTATTATTTATGTTGACTTCTAATGGGTTGTATTCTGGGACTTTGCTAATTTATTACTGGAAGATATTGTGTACGTAGCATGAAGTTAGGGTTGAATAACAAGAATACGTAGCCATGGTTTTTGTGCTTATCAACAAATAGCATTTTCTTTGCTCCTGTCTGAACTCTTACCTGAGGTAGGAATCTGTCCACAGAGCCTGCTGGCTCACCCCTCAGGTCAGTTTGGGGTGGGCAGTTAAGGAACCCTCTTTCATGCTGTGCTCAGGAACTTCTTCATGGGGTTTGAACAGCAACTCTCACCACACACACACTGGGAGCATGCCCTTCTCAGATGCTCCAGCGAACAGAGCATACCTGGTACCTGCTTTTCAAACAACACTGCCTAGAAATAAAAGTATCCAACCAGTGCAAAGCTTTGGGGGTTAGGCCTCACTTCACACAATACTCACATACTTTTCAAACTCTTTGCCAATGCTGTCTTTGTTCATTCAAAGCTGGGGTTTCCTAGGGCTCCTTGCACGTACCACACTCGGTGACAATGGTGAAATTAAGAGTCCAATAGAAATGAAAAAGGTCTGTGGAGGAACAGAAGACCTTGCACTCTGTTGTCTGGATGCCAGGGGAAGCTCTCTTCTGTAGGTGGAGCAGTCTCTTCAGTACATTTGTGGCTCACCTCTAAAACTCTCCATGGGAGCAAACCCCAAGCCCCAACAACCTGCATCCATGTCTTTCTGTGCCATCAGCACACGGCAAGGCAGCTACAGGCAAGCACCGTGACCACTCCGTGATCTCTGGCAATGGGCCGAGCTCTCCTAGTTTTAGTTTCCTTGGCTGTAAAATGGGGCCTTTGCAGGGTTAATGTTTACATGCTCCCCAGCAGGCAACCCTTCTGCTATGGCTATGCCCGATGCTTTCTTTGCTGTGGGCTAGTTAAACCTGGACGAAACACATGTGTTAATAATATGTCACTTCTCTGTCCCCTGGGTGAGAATTCGTTTGATGTACACTTTCGCTATTACTGTATCACTCACCCTTTTGTGCCTGTCACTGCCCTCTGTCTTCGTGTGTTTTTCTCTGTGGCATGCTTGATTTTACTTTACGCCCTCACTTCCGTAAGTTCTTCTTTCTTTCCACAATTGTTCTTTTTTCCTCTCTTGTTGAGTACGTATAACAAAATGAGACAGAGTCTGATGATGCTATCTCTTTAAATGTGTTCTACCATGTACCTGAATGCCCTTCATTTGTTTAAAAAGCAAATGAAGGGATAGAATTTTTAGGCCTGCATAGCATGTGTTATTTTCTCCAGTTTTCAAGAAGTTTGTCATAGCTATCGGGACTTCAGTAAGTTCCTGCCTCTGTCATGACAAATAAACACAAACTTCGTAACTTAAAACAAAAATTGGCAGGGCGATGGTGGCACATGCCTTTAATCCCAGCACTCGGAAGGTAGAGGCAGGCAGATCTCTGTGAATTCAAGACCAGCCTGGTCTACAAAGCTAGTTCCTGGACATCTATGACTATTACACAGAGGAAACCCTGTTTCAAAAAAAAAAGTTTCAGATGTCAGCATTGGCTCCTTCTGGAGATGCCTCTTGCCCTGGCCTATGTATCCATGTGGCTGGCAGACCTTGGAGTTCCCATGGCTTATATTCATGCTCCTTCTTCATTTCACCATCTTCTGTGTCATTGTAGGTTTCTTTAAGGTCACCATTCGTTGGGTGTTGGGACCATACTAGTTCATCATAACCTCTTTCTAATTATATTTCCCAAAACTTCATTTCCTAAAGGCCACAAGCTCAGTGACCAAGGGTTGGACTCCGTCATACCTCAGGACATAGTGCAGTCCATTCCAAGGACTTCATTAATATTTTCAGGAGACTTGAGGGGGAAGTACCTCTTCCTCATCCTGAGGGTATATCTTTATTCCTCTACACATAAGCTCAAGCCTGCCATTTTATTACAGGCTTTCAGGCCTCAGGATGGAATCTTTAGATGGTAACTAATGCCTACTAAGTGTCATCTCCTAGTGTGGGTACCACTGCTAATGTCCATGGTTATTCATTCAACATCTTTAAGGTTTACATTGATTTATTTTTTCCTATTGGTGCTTCATTTGTCTGACAGAAAGTGAAGAAATTTCCTGGTCTCTTTATGAAACATCTCTTCATTAATAAAAGATACAGTAAGGATGTGAGATCTTAAAGCCATTGGATGACCTTCCACTTGGAGTATTGCTTCAGAAGTGTCTACTTGCTGTGGTTTGTTCATGTGGAGAATATATATGTTACCATGAAGGATCTGGCATGGCTATTAGTTAAGATGTGTGGTTAGACAATTCTAGCTACATAATAGATGTGGCCTGATGCAAAACAAAAATGTGAGCTACCATGTTAAAATAGTAGTCAGAGCAGGACAGCAAAGCCATTAGCCATGATGTGCCATTTCAGAGCCAGGACTGCCCCTTAGCAAATTTGGAGAGAAAGTGTATTCATCCATGAACATTCATCCATGTTTCTCTTTAGTGCTCCTGTCTGCCAGTTACTGGCTACAGAGTCTGACCCCTATCAAGTGCTTAACTGTTTTTAATTTTTTATGGGCTTTGTCTGAATTTAAATAACACAAAATTCAAAAGGACTATTCTAAATGACTAAATGCCTGATTCTGGCACTTTCCACCCAGAGAAGTGGCCTTTTGTGTTTTGTGTGGGACAAGAGAGTGAGCACCAATGGTTGTAATTCATACTAGGGACTCCTTCTGGAACTTTCCAGAAAAGAGGGCTCCTTGGTCATTTATGCCTTTACTTCACCAACACAGACTATAGGCTGCTGCTGCCAGAAATGGCTGCACTCTTCTGCCAAGGGGGTCACAGCCAAGACACTTTTGACCACAGAGGGGACATTTGGCAATGTCTAGAGTTGTGTTTTTTCTATTTCTTTCTTCCTGTCTTTTTTTTTTTTTTTTTTCCCTTGAGACTGGGTTTCTCTGTGTAGCCCTGGCTGTCCTGAAACTCACAGAGATCCTCCTGTCTCTGCCTCTGCCTCCTGAGTGCTAGGATCAAAGACATGTGCCACTACCACCTGACTG